AAAAAAATCAGGTAAGTACTGGAGTACTGGCTCAGTAATTAAGAGAACTGGCTGCTCTTCCTAAGGATTTGGGTTTGATTCCCAGTACCTACATGGCCGCTAACAACTGTCTATAACTCTAGTTCCAGGAGATCTGACACCCTCACAATGTATATCAATGCACATAAAATAAATAAATCTTAAAAATAATAAATAAAAGTAATTTAAAAATGTAAAGTAAATATTGCCAATGTATACCTCAATATTTCATGTAGACATAAACATGGGAAATTTATTTGAACACATATTTATAATATATGAACACATATATTATAAAATACTTGGAGCTGTTCTTAGGACTGTCCTATAGCTCCTGTGGCTACTCTACAAGGACAAGTGGAAACAGTGATGGAAACACTACCCGACCTTTGCCAGCACAGGAAATGCAACTTGAATTAAAAAGAGGAAGACAGCACTCCCTCTTCCAAGATGTTTTTTATTTTAATGCCTAACCAACAGACTGTAGAGAAAATGAAGTACGCACATCCAGTTTCCTTATAGGAAAATGAAACTTAAACTTTGATTCAGGAAACTGAAAAGCGAAACTCAGAACTCCGGTTGTGTGTTATCAGCCACTCTTCCCCTCCCCCATCTATTGCTGTTCTCACAAAGGAAGCCAGAGAGGGAGGGTGGTGTCCCACAGTGCCTGGGGCCTGGGAGCCAGCACCCTATGCAGGGGGCTACCTTTGCTAGACAAACTCACAATCCCTCTTTGCTCTAAGGCTGGTTCCAGAGATACTTACTTTAGCAGAGTGGTATGGAATTTACAAAACACTGGCTGTGCAAAATTTCACAGCTAGTTAGGAAAGCTACAAATACATGCAATACTTAAGATGATGGACCATCTCACTATATCAGATGCAGAACACACTTAGCTATTTTTTTGTGGTTTTTTTTTTTTTGTGGTTTTGTTTTTTGATACAGGGTCTCACTGTGTAATCCTGATTAGTCTGGAATTCACTACATAGAATAGACTGGCTTAAAATGCATACATAGAATTTGGTGCCTCTAACTCCCTACTGCTGAGATTAAAGAGATATACCACCATGCCTGGCTAGGTACTTTTTTTTTTCTGAAACAGGGTCTAACCCAAGCTGGCCTTTAAATTTTTTAAAATATATAATTTATATATATATGAATGTTTTGTCCCACATATGTCTATATGTGCATTAATTCTCATAAAATATTAATATTTAGGATATGATTAAAATAAGAAATAAGAGCATTATATTTATTAAGTTGGCATTAAATTAAAAAAAAGTCAAGGTCAGTGAGACATCTTTTTTTTTTTTTTTTTTTTTGTGGTTTTTCGAGACAGGGTTTCTCTGTGGTTTTGGAGCCTGTCTTGGAACTAGCTCTTGTAGACCAGGCTGGTCTCGAACTCACAGAGATCCGCCTGCCTCTGCTGGGATTAAAGGCGTGCGCCACCACCGCTCGGCTCAGTGAGACATCTTAATAGATAAGGGCACTCGCTACCAAGCCTGAAGATCTGAGTTTAGTTCTGAAGACCCACACGGCAGAAGGAAAAACTCTGACTTCCACAGAACGGGCACATATACACATAAACAAACAAATGTCGTAAGTTACTGACTGGTTTGCTTTTAAATTTCCTAATGATGCTATTAGAGATTACAAAGTAGTTTTTAGTGACCCCAAGTTTCTACTGGACAGCCCTGTTGCAAACCAGGGATCATGCTGTTTCCACATGCCATCACTTGTCTCTTCTCACACTCACAGTGCCAGGGACCACCCCCTGTGTGGCAGGGGGTGAGGCAAGCACTCCACCGCAGAGCTGAACCTCTCGACCCGGGTTTTTAAGACAAGGCTTCATTATGGAACTCTGGATGGCCTTGATCTCACTGTTCAGCTGGCCTCAATCCCTCAATGCTTCCATCTGATGGCATGGCAGGCCTCCCATCAGTACCCATTCACGGCTCTCAGAGGTAGGAAGTTTTATAGGTCATTTGTGCTGTAGCTAAGGTCTTGTTTGTTTGTCTGTTTGGTTTGAAGACAGGGTTTCTCTGTAGCCCTGGCTGTCCTGATACTCTGTTGACCAGGCTAGCCTTGAACTCAGAGATTAGCCTATCTCGGTCTCCCATGCCACCTCTGCCTGGTAAGATCCTTATTTGAAAAACACAGGCCATCCCCAGGTGGGCTTTTCCTTTCCACTGGGTAGAACCCTGCTTACCTCTGTGGTTAGCAGGGGGATTCCTGGGCCTGGCTTCCAGATGTGGTCTTCTGTCTTCCATGTCTGAGCCACCAGATCCTTCTACATTCACCTGACTTGAAGTTATCTGTAACAGCACAGGCTGAGAGTTACCAGTGCCCTTCAAACACAGCAAACGCCTAAACACCGTGAAGCCAGCCTTTCTGCCTGTGCATGTTAATGATTTATTAACTAAGAGTAAGTTAGTAAATGCAGATTTTAATCATAGGCACAAACACTCATCCTTGTGGATTCCCAACCATGATATAAACTAAGTTCACAATTTAGGCGATTCCAAGAGATCCAACAGTGCATTCCTGGGCTCTCCCTGTACCTGCTTATGGACAGAGTGTCATCAACTCCCAAACTACTGTTTGGTTTGCCTTCAGCAAAGTTACTTAATCCATTGCTTAGGTTTCGTTTCCTTTCTTACAAAATGATTGCTGGGCAAAAGGAGCCGTGTTTGTCAATTCCAGAGAGTGCACGCCCACCCTTTCATCTCAGCTCCTGGGAGGATCAGAAATTCAAAACCAGCCTCCACTGAATCTGAGTCCCACGTGGACTAGGAGACCCTGCTTCAACAAAGTACTAAAGTACCCACCACCCTACCTGGCATTCTTACGACACAGCAGTCTATAAATTCTTGCTCCCTACAGCTTGGAAACAAGGAAACATTGGTGCTATTTCCTGGGGACCAGTCAGAAGTCAGCAGTTCTCACCCTTCTTCCATCTCGATAATTTCTGACGCTGGGGGAAGAGGAAGCCCCTTCAGGGAACTTCTCAATATAACTCATGCATATCATGTGGGTGCAAGGGGGGGTGGGGTGGCGGTGACTCAGTTCCCAGCAAAAGGATTTTTCAGACTGTCCTCACAGTTTTAAAATATTCATAGTTGGAAACTGTGAATAGATTTGGCATTGTATGAGAGGTAGCTTTTATTCTTATCTGAAAAAGAGTCTCTTTTCTTCCCGCTGGGAATATTTTTGTGGTGTCTTTTCTTCTCAGCTTACCAAACCCTGTTCTCTCACTGCAGGCTCAATGGTTAGTGTCTGTTTTTAATTTTTCTGGGAAGAAAAATTTCTTCTTCTTCATTTTGAAAAACACTAAAATAGAATGCTAGCAGTTTGGGAGTGTAGAAGAAAAGTGCTAGAAAGGGAGGGGCACACAGAAGAGGGGACTGCTTTGTTTAGGGTTTTGAGGGGATCAAGGCAGGGAGGGCAGGAAGAAGATCCGCAATGGTTAAGCTGTTGCCAGGATAGAAATTAGGGAGCGGTAATTATGGGGTAAGATGAGAGAGGTGGAGCCAGAGGTGGCAGCTGGATTGTTTCAAGTCAGAGAAGTCACCACACCACTCATCCCTTAGCGCAAGCTGGAGAGATCTGGGGGCTTCTAGAAGTGGGCAGAGCTTAGGGCCTTCTGCAGATGCTAATGAATGCAAAAGGAATGAAGCCAGAGGCAGCGGATGGCTGTGGCAGAAGTGGGGACAGATAGGGATGAGAAACGGAGGTGGTGAGATCACCAGGATGGGGACTGTGGGGATGCGGTGGAGAGCTACTGCTGGTGAGTTCACGGGATGCTCAAGAAGTCTCCTAGGGGTGCCTGGGTGCTGAGATGAAGGGGCACTGGGGGGAGCAGGGTGGTGACCGGTGAGCTGAAGGGGGGGAGGGTGGCAATGGCAGTGGCTGGGACTCAGCAGGTGATGATGGGTGCTGGGGGAGGAGATAGAAACTCTTACAGAGCAGGGATTTAGGAGTAATGGGGCTGCTGATAACTGGTAACAATACTGAGGATTGAGGGGGATGGTGAAGCTAAGGAGGGGGAGCAGGACTCTTGGGGTGGTGAAGACAGTGGGAAAAAATTCTAGATGCTGAGGGTGCAATGAGAAAAAAGGACAGGTAATCCAGGGATGACGGAGAATTTAGGGAGCAGTCAGGGACTCCCGGGCTATAGGAGAACTGAGGGGGCAGTCTGGGACTCCCGGGCTATAGGAGAACTGAGGGGCAGTGAGGGACTCCGGGCTATTAGGAGAACTCAGGAAACAAACAGGACTCCGGGGGTTGTAGAGGAACTGAGGAAGCAGACAGGGACTTCAGGAGCTATAGGGGAACTGAGGGAGCAGACAAGGACTCCGGGGGTGATTGGGCGCTGAAGGAAGGGGACAGGGACTCTGGGGACTTAGAGGAACTTAGGGAAGGCGGCAGAGACTCCAGGGGCTATAGGGGAAGCGAGGCCAGCAGGGACCCTGGCGGGACTGTAGGGAGAATAGGGGGAAGGGGACAGGGACTCTCTGAGCTAAAAGGAAACTGAGGGAAGGGGACAAAAATTCCGGGGGTAATGGGGACGCTGAGCAGGGCAGTCAGGGACTTCAGGGCTAACCTGACACCGGCCCGAGGCAGAGTCGGGCACTGGTGATCGCGGCGCCGCAGGAGCAGGTGCGGGATGGGGCGGAGGCCACTCACCGGCTCTGGCGCGTCCTCCACCGGGGTAGCACTCAGCTCCGGGCCCTGGCAGGTCGCGGCCCCGCCCGATGCCGCGCACTTTCGGTTTCCAGTCCCCGCAGCCCCTGGGCGGGGCGAGGAGCTGGGTGGGCGGCCCGGAGGAGGAGGTGGAGGCCGCGCAGGACGAGGAGGCGGTGCCGCCGGCGCCAGCGAGAGGCCGGGCCGAGCTCGGCGGTGCCCCCGCCCTTGGGGCGGGCGGAAGGGCGGTGTCGCCTCAGCCCCCGCGGCGGCGGCTGGACTGGCGGCTGCCGTGGGCGCCGCAGACGGGAGGGCGCGGCGGGAGGCGGGCTGACTGCGCCCCGGGCGGCCGCAGGTCTCGGCTGGCCCCGGAGCAAGGGGGACGCGGCGGGCGGCTCGTGCGTGCCAAGCACGACATGTCGGGGAGGCTGAGCAGCCCCGGAGGCCCAGTGAGCATGGGGAGGGGCTAGACGAGGGAGGAACAACCATTAGCGAGCTGGGGGCCGGGCAGCTCGGGACTCTATTTCCCAGAGGGCGTAGCGGCCGCGACCGGAAGCGGCGCGCCTGAGGCCCAGTGCGCAGGCGCATGCTTTGCTTTGGTCTATATAAGGAAGGTCGGCTCTCATGCTCGTTCTTTCGTCCCTGAGATACTTCTTTCGCAGTGTTGTGCGTCATGTCTCGTCCTTGTTGGAGTAATGTTCAGATGGTGAGTTGAGGCCCCACGGTACAATTTTCTGTTAATCTTTTGCCAAGTTTATGCTGTGGTTGCTGTAATTGGTCATAATCTCACGGTGTGACCTGTCTAGCGCCAGCCCCAGCTTGACCTTTGGGGAAGTGATTTAGATGGAAAAGACGCCTTCTGGTTGGGCCTGAAAAGCACTTGGCTGGTGTAAATGATGACTTCACTTTTTTCCCCGTCATATCGACAATGCTGATTTCTTAAACATTTTTGCCAGTTAATCCTGATACGCCAGCCCCAAAGGCCTTAGTCGGCTTTGTTCAGACCGAGGCAAAATGGCGATTGACGCCTTTGTTTTGCAGGTTGGCATGGTTAAGCGGTGCAGAACAGGGGTTGGAGGGAGAGGAGACGTCACCTTTGGGCCTCCAGGGAGATGAGACTCCGTCTATGATCTTCGACTTCATAATTTCTTAAGGTGCGATTTGTCTTATGGTTTAATGTATGAAACACGTGCTTTTAAGAGCCTTTTTTTGGGCTGTGATACGGAATTCAAACGCAAGATTCAATGCTGGGAGTAATAGGTTTGGCCAGAGGGGATGGGCACGTGTCTTGCCTCTGAACTTTTCCTACTGGTAAATCCTAATGAATGGATAGATTTAAGAGAAACTTGTAGAATGCCTGTTTTCAATTTACATTCCTTCTATACCTCCATTTCTAGGGGATGTAACCTGTGCGTGCAGATCCCTGCCCTAGTTGGTTTATCTTTTGGTGGCTTGAGTCAAATGAGAGATGCCTAAGGAAAGGGAATCTCGGTTGAGAGAGAATGATCCCGTGAAATTGGTCTGTAGGCAGGCCTGTGGCACATTTTCTTTGTATTGAGATTTTCTAAGAATGTTATAGCTTGAGTTCACGTGCCTGTAATTTCAATGGAGCATTTTTCAAAGTGGTGTGATCGTAATTCTCACCCAATCTGTTTAGGTCGAATTTGTGCTCTGGGACAAGTGTCCTAGCATATGCTAAGTCACGGCACTGAGGAGGGAAGTAGGTCCAGGCCGATGACCAGCTTGAGGCCACTGCTGTCTGCCTTAGTGGGACAACACAGTGAACAGTGTACGGGTCGAGTCAGTTGTGCACTTAGGGTTAGTTAGGGTTATTGCTGCACTCGATGGCCCTTGAGCGTGTTACCCACCGGTACTGGGGAACAGCCAGCTTTCCTGAGGGACGTTCTCGTGTAGGTGAAAGATTCCTGGACAATGGAATGGAGAAGGACATTTCAGAAATTACAAACGTTGCATTTGCAACTGTCACTTGTAAGCGGGATCCTGTCCTACTGACTACCCACACGTGCAGGACTAGGCTCAGGGGTTTCCAGGCATGTGTGATGACAGAACTTTTTTCCCCATCAGATCGACCATGTTGATCACATCTTCTAAGCCAGTTTGCCTGACATGCCTGTATGAGCAGTGCCTGCTGCTGCTGCATCTCGTGGTCCAGGCAGCTGATGTGTTTTACCTGCATTTTGTCTCAGGTTTGCTGGTGGCTGGTAGGCATTGGATGGAGGATGAATTCTGGAGTGGGAAAGGACTGGTAAGTGGTTTACCCCTCCCCTGGGCATAGAAGCTCTAAGTCGTCTTTCAGTTCAGAGTTGTTTCTGTTGACATAAATTTGGCTGATGCAGCTGATGACATAACTTTTTTCCCCGTCAGATCGACCCTGTTGATCTCAAACTAATAGCCAGTTTTGTCTGATGCATTGGCCCTGGAAATAATTTCTTGTTTTGGCCTTGAGCTGTTTCGTTTATGATAATGGCTTCATCTATATACTTTATACAGGCCTGAGGTTGCCATGGATGCCAGTGTGTTCTGATCTTCCTTAATTTCAATGTCCTGAAACAGGTGAGATATCGCTTTTAATGGTTTTGAACCAATTCTGGAGATTTTAATAGGTGTGTGAACTCTTTTTGGACATCTTGATGTTCTGGATGCTGTTGAGGTTCCCAGTGGAGTTTTTCTTTGGCCTTTTGAGCTCGCATTAAGGGTGCATTCCATTCATTTGAACACCATGTTTGAAGGGGGGGTGTTTCAACAGAAATTTTGCCCCTGGTGTCTGATCTTAAATCAAAAAATGCGGGCTTCAAGCAGATGCAGTTCATATCAGGCAAGACTATCAACCTTTTGTTTTCTGTTTTCTTTTTAGGTACTTCTAGAAAACAGATCAGCAGTTTCCGGCTGGCCCAGTCCCATAAGGATTTTATACATTTGGTCCCAAGGGCTGTGTGTGACCCGAAAAGGACTTAATTTTTTAGGCTGGGATGTGGCGTGGTATGCACTGCTATTGAAAATACTGAATTGTACAGACCTATCTGTAGAAATAAAATCTGACCGGGTATCTGTTTGCATTTATTTGCTTCTGGGTGGGACCAGCAGCTGCTTCCTGTGAATATAACTTCAGTGTCAACCAAGTGGGACAGTACCCTGGAGTTAGGCCTATTAGTGGCCACCCTAATGCCAACTTTATTGGCGGTCAGCCTGGTTGTGGGTAACCTTTCGCAATGGCCTGGAGTGGGCTGAGTCCACTCCTAGTCATTGGTGATTTCACCTTGATTTGCCAGGGTGGCTTTTCATGTCAGCCCCATGCTTATTTCCAGGGTTCACTTTCATAGTGTCTTGCCCTCTTGTGCCCTAAGTGGGTTCTGCTTTCGGAGCTCTGCCGCATCCCCTTTTCTGCGTAGAATCCAACATTTCTCAGTTTGCTGTCCCTTTAATGTATCCGAGCATCTCAAGTTGCTTTCCAGGGTCATTCTGTGGTGCTTAGTAAAGAAAACCATGATTCCCTTTACAGCCATCAAACAGCTTTTGGGATCTCAGGACACTTCAGTTCACAGTGCTAAATCTAGACACCCTATGCTCCCAGTCCCAGGAAAGCTTCCTGTGAGCCAGGCTGATCTCTGAATTTCAGAAGACAGCCCTAGTTGATACTGAAATCTGTTTTGTGGAGTCCAAGGATCACACTTTGGCCGTTGTGTACATGTTTTGCCTGTGTGTGTGTGCCACTTAGCATAGTACTGCTAAGTACTGGGGCTAAGGTGCTGCCCCGGGGACTAATTTTTAACTGGTATCTTTTAAAATTAGAAGTGAGTATATTTTAGACAAATGGTGTTTCTGAAAATAAACCTGAGAGCAACTTTGGAGCTGAGTGGGCCATAGGCTTTTACAGGTGCAGCTGCCCTGTGAATTGGTTAGTGCAGCCCAGTTTTTCCCGATTTACATAATGACCACCATGCTGCTTTTTTAAAAAAGTTATCCGCCAGGCTCCATACCAGTGACTTGGTGACCTGGCAGAGTCCAGCTCCAGCTGGGGTTCTTGTGTCCAGGATAAAGAATGAAGAGTCTGGCCACCAGCTGGTCAGTCTTTCAAGGTGACCTCGTGCCATCTTCATGCCAGTTCTAGTGCATCCAAATGTGGGCAGTCATTTCTTAGTCGTTTTCCAAGAATCATTAACATTCATCTTAGTTTCTCTTGCCCACTTCCTCCGCATCATTGGCCTTTACTCCATATCAGGATTCAAGCTAAACGTTTATGTCTGGCTAGATATAGCTGGTTGCAAGCTTGTAGTTAAAAAGTAAGAGTTAAGCTCTGATTAGTTCTCACTGTGAAATCAGTATATTGTGCCTAGGATAATGCTTTTGTAAGTAGATTACAGTTATTTTTTACAGGTTCTGAAAATAGTAATGGTTAATACCTTTGACTGTTAACTAAATTTCTATACCTGGCAGTTTCTGCGTGAGCTTTCAAGGGAAGTGGGAGTTAATTCCTTTATTGATATATTGGGGGGATTAAGTGTTCTTCATGTTCTGGTGCCAGATATGTCTGACCTTTTATGGTCATATCTTTTCCTTACTTGTTTATGAGTTTTTGATGGCATCTTTTAAGATACTTCCCAAGTTCTTTGGGAGTATCACTTTTTGGAACTGGAATAAGCAATAATGAGAAACCAGTTTCAGTAACAGACCAGAGGAATTTTTAATTTTTCCGTAAAGACTTGTAAGCTCAGTAAGTAAGCTCAGGTATAATCATGACTAACCAGCAAAACTAAGAATTACCATAAGAATAACACAGAAGGGGGCTGGAGAGATGGCTCAGTGGTTAAGAGCATTGCCTGCTCTTCCAAAGGTCCTGAGTTCAATTTCCAGCAACCACATGGTGGCTCACAACCATCTGTAATGAGGTCTGGTGCCCTCTTCTGGCCTGCAGGCATACACACAGACTATTGTATACATAACATAAATAAATATTTAAAAATAACACTGAAGCCTGAAGCTCCATGAGTTCTCTAGCACATGAGTTTGCAGTGTTGCTTCCATTAGTCCCTGCCAAATGGATGGGTTTCTCCAGAGGGCCTTGCCCTCTAAAGAGCTCCATTTGCAAAACATTTATACACCGTTCCCAGGGGTGACAGCATGACTTCTGCTAATGACCCACCTTAGCTTTATGGATGAGGGAAGAGTTCTGTGTCTGGGGCAGGACACCTCTCCCCTCCCTCTCAGGAACATAACAAGGACAACTCACCCTGTGCCTTTTTGGGTTCCTAACTAGAGCTTCAGAGGGAGTGAGAGGGGTCAACCCTAGGCTCTGCCTGCCTCAAGCTACTCTACCTGCCCCCCTGGGAATAAAGGCAGAAGCCACAACACCTGGTTTTTCTTTTTTTAGGATTTTGTGGAGGCTGCAGAGATGGCTCAGATTAAGAGCACTTAATAAGAGCCTTTCCTGAGGTCATGAGTTCAATTCCCAGCAACAATGTGGTGGCTCACAATCATGAGATCTGGTGCCCTCTTTGGCGTGCAGGCATACATGTAGCCAGAACACTACAATAACATCTTAAAAAGATTTTCTTTTTCTTTTGGGGTGTGTGGGGAGCTTGTTTCAAGACAGGGTTTCTCTACGCCAGGCTGTCCTGGAACTCTGAAGAGATTGCCTGCCTCTGGAGTGCTGGTATTAAAGGCGTGCACTACCAACCTCGCCTGATGTTTTTTGTTTTTGTTTTTTTATAAATTGTATGTATATATGTAGGTATGCTCACATGAGTGCAGCTGCCCACAGTTGCTGTTGGAGCCCCTAGAACTGGAGTAACGGGTGGTTGTGAACTGTCTAATGTGGATGCTGGGAATAGACTCAGGTCTGCCAGAGGAGTGCACACTCTTAACCACTGGGCTACTTTCATGGCCCCTATGATTCTCCTGTGGGACTCTGGTCATTTCCCATGTGGCCCCTGCAGATACAGGGGTCCCTTGCTGTTTCCAGTTGCAAGCTTTGTACTGGCCCCGTGTCTTTCTGGAATTCTCTTCCGTGGGGCCATTCACTGTTTATAAACCTTAGAGGTAGGCAGGCATAAGATTAAAAACCCAGACTCAAATAGCTTCTGCCTGCTGCTTCCTGAGGCAACTTGCTGGTTGCTCCTGCCTGTTCTCTATCTCCATCCTGATTTTTAATGCTTCCCCACAATGCAGGGAGTGTTGCCTGGAACTAGTTCTGTAGGTGTAGATCAGGCTGGCTTCAAACTCACAGAGATCCACCTGCCTCCTGAGTACCAGGGTTGAATGCATGCACCACCCAGGCCCAAGACTTTTTTTTTGGTTTTTCAAGACAGGGTTTCTCTGGTTTTGGAGCCTGTCCTGGAACTAGCTCTTGTAGACCAGGCTGGTCTCGAACTCACAGATATCCGCCTGCCTCTGCCTCCCGAGTGCTGGGATTAAAGGCATGCGCCACCATTGCCCAGCCGGCCCAAGACATTTTTAAAAAATAATTTTTTTATTTCATGTGCATTCATGTTTTGCCTGCCTGTGCATGTGTGTGCAGGTGTTAGATCTGAAACTGGAGTTACAGGCATATGAGCTACCATGTAGGCGCTGGGAATGGAGCTGGGGTCCTCTAGGAAGAGCAGCCTTAACCACTAAGCCTTCTCTCCAGTCCCAAGCCCAAGGCATTTTTGACAGATACCCAGTATGTTTCATTTGCTGGAGAACTTTTCTCAGGCCTATCTTCCAGGGTGCTGACCCGCCCCACTTTCGTGCTCTGCCTAGGAGGAGTGCTGAGCTGGAATGTCAGCGTCACAGAGAAAGGGAAGCATCAGGCTTTACCCTGAACTGCACCATTCACAGGCGGAGCCAGGCCAACACGTGGCAGGAACAGCCGGCGTTGCATCCTGGGTTGCACAGTGCAGCCAAACAGTTGAGGAAAGGTCCCTTGTGCCTGACACTCCTCTTTTTTTTCTTTGAGTACACTTGGTTACACAGAAAGTCAGGATACTTTATTGTCCTCTGAGTTAAAAAAAAAAAAAAAACCAATAGCTTGTTTGTCTTTTTTTGTTTCGTTTTTGAGATATGGTCTCCCATAGCCCAGGCTGACCCCCAGCTCACTAGGTTGTACTAAGGATGACCTTGACCTTCTGAGTCTTCTGCTTCTACTTTCCAAGTGCTGGGATTGCAGGCCTCTGTCCCCACACCTGACTTCTGTGGTGCTGGAGAACCCGGCACTTCCTGTCTACTAAGCAAGCACCAACTGAACCTGATTCCTCACCTTGCTGCTGCATTCCTAACATCCTGGGGTGGGGTGGGTGTCACGCTGTCTGCACAACAAGGGTCAAACTAGGTTACCCTTGAGGTTTGTGTGGGCTGGTGGGAGGCCATTCCCTTAAAAGGCTCTTGGTGCTATTAGTGAGGGCAGAGAGAGCAGTTACTGACTGAAGTAGGTTCCTCCCTCAGCCGCCAGGGAGCTAAGATTTAGGACAAGGGTAGGAGAAACCAAAGAGCACAGGTGGCCCACACTCCAACAGAAGCTCCATCTGTCCTCAGCTCCACGACACACTGGAGAGGACTGTTTACCTGAGCCTTGGACCTCAGCTTGTTCTGAAGTCATCCGGGAGCCACGTCTCAGAGCAGTCAGGCATGCATCCAGAGATGTCCACTCCTCTGCCCACGGACGTGGATAGAGACAGACCCAGCAGGTTAATTACCCAGATGGAAGCTGACAGGGGATGCCCTGCTGGGCAGAGATCAACAGCTCTATTCCTTTCTCGGCAAGCATCCAGGTTGGCCTGGAGTACAGAGCCAAGGTAGCTATCGGGAAGCCCTTGTTCTGAGGGTGCACATTTGCCATGATCTCAAGATGAAAAATCACTTCTGGAGACCACTGGCTCCAGTCCAGGAGGGGATTTTGTTTGGCAGGATGACCTGGTCAGGTTGCCGATGTGGCAGGCTTCCTGAGCATTGGACTGAAGCCTGGGGACAGAAACTGTATACACACTTAAGTGGAACGTGCTTGTTGGGCCTGTGAGGCCATTCAGTGGTTAAGAGCTGCAGCTGGCCAAGCCTGCAAACCTGAATTCAATC